TCTAAACTGAAAGTTAAAAAGGATCTGAGGAGAGTTGGGGTTTGCAGGAGGAGCTCATCCTTGGACTTTTTACAGCATCATTCCTCCATCGGTTAATGGCAGGTGCACCGTTTTATAATGCTAAGTCTGATAATGATGAGGGCACATAGAACTTTCTTAAGTTCAAGGGGCCTCAGAGAGGGCCTGTGGGGTGCTGGATCATTGCTGAAGGGTGGAGATGAAAGTCAAGGTTTCTCCCTTGATACCCAAGAGGGGATGGGCTTTTCATTAGAATTGGGTGGTGATAAGAGTTGCAGATCCCCACTAGGTGTCCACCTAGGCCATACAGGCTCTCTTACTGTTTTCCATTGTAGTCTCCACTGAAAGCACAGATAGTGGCCTCATATTTCTGGGATATGCTGACTTTCTGGGAAAGTCCTGACTTTCCAGCAGCCTCTTGTAATACCCTCATTCCCTAGGGAGGGTGAGGAGTGCCTCATTACTGCTGAATGTGGGTGAAAGTCCTGGATCTACTTGGGGTGTGTTAAAGGGCAAGGATTCATTACCAGCCTTTCCTGATAGCCCTTACCACAAAGAGGTTGAGGGGACTCATTAGAGCTTATGAGAATGTCTAGAAAAATCCTCATTCAGACTTTGCTGCTGTGGGAGGGGTCATGGACTTTTCTCTGGAGTATACAGCTTATTGTCTCAAGGTTTTCTCTTGCTAGACTTCCTCTTTTCCTGGTACTTGGCTCAAGAGAAGGCTTTGTTGTGTGTGTGTATTTTTTCTGTGGGTATCTATACAACTTTTTTTTTTCTTTTAAATTACTGACTTATTTAACTCTAAGAGCCTGTGATCCTTGGTGTCAGGACCTGTCCAAGGGTTGCACATGGGTCACCGTGCATGGAAGCCTCATGGATAGAGACATTTTGTGTCTGGGAATGACCATGGACATTTTCTCTGGTCAAGTGCCCAGGGACAATGTGAATCTCTTTCCCGCTCTGTGGTGTGACCTGCCAAGATGTCAATCAAGGCCTACACAACACCTGATATGGGTGTTACTTGCCAAGATGTCAATCAATCTGCCAGATGTCTATCAACTGCAAGAAATCATGAAACAAGACTCCACCCTTGAAACCTTATCCCTGCCTTTGATGTACCCCGTTAAATAAACCACCGGGGCCATTTTCCCTTTGTCTAGTTCCAAAACCCATGTGGACTAGATCTATCAGGGGCTTCATCTTGTGTAAATATATTTCTGAGTGTTTGTGCTTTGTTGTTCACTAATTTATTTGAGATTGTAAGTTTTAGGGTGGCTTGGATTATCCTGAGCAGGAAGAAATACCCCTTAATGAGATGCTGACTGTCGTCCCCTAGATACCTTGGTGTGTCTGTGTTTTCTTGACTTGAAGATTTTTTTTTTCCTCATATATCTCGACCACAACCCGCTTAGACAAGATAAACTGAATTTAAACAAGCTGGCTGCAACATTAAGCTAAGAAGAAGGTGGCAAGAAATTATGCAACACATACATAATTTTCATATGGGGGCAGGACGGCTCTTTGAGCTTGGGAGTCAGTTTCCACGCTAGAAAGAAAGAGCACTGGAAAGAGAGAGCACCAGAAACTGAGATCTGTTTATTCATAGGGGGGTTAACAAAGGATTTTTGATAGAATGTTCTTTACCAAATAAGGCAGGAATAAGGTTTCAAGGGTAGAGTCTTGCTTCTGGATGTCTTGTGGTCAGCAGATTGATTGACATCTTGGCAAGTCACACCCACTTCAGGTGCTATGTGGGATCTTAGGCAGGGCTAGAGGAGGACGCGCACCTGCATCAAGCCATAAATCCCTGACAGGGATTTCCAGTGCCAGGCCTATCCCCTCATATGGCTACTATGCGCAATAGTTCACACACACAGCCCATGGATGGCTTGTAACACACACAAAATTTAGTGGGAAAAATAGAGGAAAGTATGTCTGCTCCATCTTCCTGGAATTGAAAATGAACACTTTGTGTTTCTAAGAAAGAAAATCTATCACTTAGTATGATGCTTCTTGGTTTCTGTTAGAATTCAACAATAGGGGAACACTAGGTATATATAGAGAGAGCTCCCTGAAAAGTTTCCTAGGACTTAACAGAACCAAAATCAGATCTTGGGAACCACAATCAGATCTTGGGTTGTAGAGAAAATTCAGGTTCACCTGAGTATCCGCTCTTGGGATCTGACACTTATGCTCACTCTCTGAAGCCTTCTGAGAGGAAGGGGTACCCAAAGCACTGGTGAGAAGCCTGAAGCTGAGGAAAAGAAAAAGCACTAAAACTTTGATCCCCTCGGTATCACCTTACTGATGGGGAAACCATTGGTCCATAGGGGGAATAGGTTGAAGAGCTTTATTCTAAGTGGGGAGAGACTAGTGATGTGGCAGATAACAGCAGCTGAATGGAGGATGAACATAGGCCCCATTTGCTTCCCTTCCTATAATACTTAGCACTGAAGATCCCTCCCTTCTTTGGAAGCCGTCACATATGCTTTGCTGATCTGCTGATGTGATCACCTTGGAGGTAACTTCTCTGACTTCTGTCATCCCTCTTGGATCTCTGAAGGCTGTTGTTCTATAGGGTTCAGTTCTTCATTCTCAACTCTTCCTGATCCAAACCCTTTGGGTAAGTTCATCCACTTCTGTGGGTTTAATCACCATGGTTCCCAAATCTACATTCCCAACTGTTTCCTGGAAATTTGTTCCTGAATGTTTAGTGATTACTTAAAGCATGCCTGCCTGAAGCAAGGATGCATTAGTTTTCTTTCTGCTGTAACAAATCACTATAACTACAGTGGCTTAAACAACACAAAGAAATTATACTACAGTGCTGTAGGTCAGAAATCTGTCCAGAGATCTCATTGACTTAAAGTCAAGGTGTTGGCAAGGCTGTGTTTCCTTTTGTAGGGGAAGACATAATTTCCTGTTTGTTTAAGTTTTAGAATAGAAATCCCTTTTTCCACGGTGGCTGCCAGCTCAGGGCCATCTCCAGCTTCTAAGGTTGCCCACATTTCATGACTGGCTACAATCCTTTCTGCATCTTCAAAGCTGAAAATTGTGGGTTGAGTGCTTCTCAAGCTTTGAACCTCTCTCCTCCTTCAGTCTAACCTCTTTAATGTACTTTTAAGCTTTGTATTATTATGTTAGGCACACCTACATCATGAAAGAATTTTCCCATCTCAAGATATATATCCTTAATTACATCACCAAAGTCTCCTCTTCATGTAAGATACATCTTCACGGGTTCTGGGGTTTAGGATGTGGATATCTTTAGGGCCAGATTGTTTTACCTACCACAAGGGATCATTTCTGCTTGTGGAAAAAACTGCTTCTGTTGTCTTTCTTACTTCTGGTATATGCTGGACCACATTTCTCATCTTCTCTCACAAATGAGTGTGGCCATGTGACAGCTCTGGCCAGTGGTTTGTGAGTGATATTGGTGTGTGTCATGACCAAATCATGGCATACATGACCCTCCCATTGACATTCTTCCATATTCTTTCCCCTTCTGGATGCTGGGAAGGAGAGAACTTTTCCTCCACTAAAACATGTTTTAAAGATACTTGTACAAAAGATGATTCTAAAAATCCTTGTTGCTTAAGTGATTGAGAACAGTGTTATTTCAATGAATAGATAAGTTGTTCACCACACTGTTACATGTATAAAAACCTTGATTTTTCATCTCTATTTCTCCATCTTATCACCACATATTATGAATTTGGTCTCTAAACCTGGCATCAAAGTGCTTGACTCTCGTTCTCACTGCCAATGCCTCATCTCTTTTCATAGGTTACAGGGGCAGTCTTTTAACTTTTTATAACTAGGCTTTTGCTAACTCCCAATTCTTAAGACCCTCCTGTGCTCAACCCTTTGATACCATATATAAGGCTCTCAATAATCTGATTCCAGTCACTGATTTTATTTCCTGGTCCCTCTTTCAACACACACTGGGTTTTCTTTTGATCTTCCAAATGCTTCTGACCTGTCTTCTGAGCCCTACAGCCAGCAGTTCCCATTCCCTCTTTGCCTGGTCAGTTCTCATTTCATTAATACCTCTTGTTATTACTTCTTCCTTTGTGGTCCTATGTGCCTCTGCAGAATCTGCCACATGCTTTGTATTTGAGTTTGTATGTGAGCCTTTTCCATTAGAGAGGTGAGTTAGTAATCTCTGAAGTCTTATCATAGGCCTATTTGTTGAATGATTAAGTGGAGTGAAAGGATCAGAATGTGAACATCAAGCAAAGGGCAAACATTCACATTGAAGCTGCACCCAGAACCTAACCTCACTCTGCTCTAACACTTCTTTGGCGTTTCTCTTGGAATAGAAAGTAGGTCTGAATCTAAGGGTGAGCTGCTGAAACTGTAATGTGGAGACCGAAGTCCTGATTCATTTGCCTGTACCATGTGACCTCTCCTCCCTACCTCTGCCCCTCAAGCTATCATCATCTCCTGCCATTTCTATTCTTCCCTAACCTTCTCTTTCACTTTTGCTCATTGTAAACCATTGATAAAAACATTCTGATCTTTGAATGTAATGGAAACATTTCCTTCTCTCTCTTAAACCTCTTTTAGTTTCATTTCTCCCCAGGAGATCCCTGTGACTCCACTCCTCCCACTCATGGATGGACTTTCTTTCTTGTTTTTTAAACCTACCTGCTGCAGACCTTCAACTCCTCCTCACTTCATGCCTAACCTCACTCTGCTCTAACATTTCTTTGGTGTTTCTCCTGGAATACAGATCATACAGCACACCAAACAGGAACATCTATGGTTCCTTCTTTTTCTTATGTCTGGGGCAGAGATCATCTCTCATGGGCAAAGATATAAATGCCAATTTCCTAGCGTCCTCTCAGGAATATATGACCTGGGTCCTTTTATCATTGTAAGCCACTTTGTAATAGATGGTGTAGAAATGGGGCAAGTGTTGCAGTAACCATGTTGTTTGTGTGAACTTCACGGATTCATGACCATCAATGGCAACCATGGGTTGTCTCCAGATCATGTGGGGTAAGTTCCTCAGAGTGCAGCCTCTAGGTTCTCTTGGCACCTGGAGATGCTATGATCTACCCAATAGCCTTTAAGGAATTTCTCTTCTTGCTTCTACTTAAATCAGTTTCCACTCTTTGCAATAAGTGAAAGAATACATCAGGAATTAGGTGAGGAAGAGAGACTCCTTTCAACTGCAGGGCTCAGCTGGTTATTTGATTAGAAAAAGAATTATCCTAAAAAAAATACTCAGAAACCACCTATATGCATACTCTCTGTGTAGCCAAGTTCTTCTCTGGATGCCCAAAGTATTTATCTGACCCACACTATTGTTCTGAACTAAGTTCAGCCCAAGCTAAGTTTCTCCTAGCTTCATCTCATACCCTTCCTGGGGAAGATTAGTTATTTCTTAACAATCCCAGTCAGCACCCCTCTGTTCCATACCGTGCTTTACCTGTTCCTGTCTTGTCTTTATTACTTCCTGCTGAACTAAAGGGACCCCGTCAAGTACCTTGTTCTCCAAATCCCGAGAGTGTTACTGAACCCAAGTTTGAAAGCTCATCCATGAAAAATCAATGCCTGAGAGACAAATTTTGGTGAAACAGAAAAGCTTTATTCAGTGCCCCCAAAATGGAGAAGAGGGAGCTTTGCTTATTGTTTTAGTCAGTGTTTTGTTTTGTTTTAGCTACCTGACAAGAACAATTTTAGGAGGAAAAGTTTATTTCATTTCTCATGGTTTCAGAGGTCTCAGTTCATAGGTGGCTCTATTCCTCTGGACTGAATGTGAGGCAGAATATCATGGCGGAAAAGTGTGGCTGAGGGAAGTGGCTCAAGACATCACACCAGGAAGCAGAGACAGACTCTACTTGCCAGATACAAAATATATATCCCAAAGGCACAACTCCAATGCCCCCCTTCTATCTTCAGTTACTATTCTGTTAATCCCTATTAGGGGATTAATTTTCTGATTGGGTTAAGGCTCCCATAATCCAGTCATTTAACCTTTAAGCCTTCTTGTATTGTCTCACACATGAGCTTTTGGGGGATACCTCACATCCAAACCACAACACTAATAAATCATCCTCTTCACTCCTGGGAGTGAACCGTTATACCAGTAGGATAGGAATAATGAAGGAGAGGGAAAGGCTAATGGAGAGGAGAAATATTCATGTCTTTTCTGAGAATAGGCAGAAATCCCTTCCAGGAACTTGTGCACCACCTCTTTTTGCTCAGACCATGGTCTGATGTATTGGTCATAACAGTTGGTAGATGTCTTTATCCTTGAAGTTGGGTAAGAGAGAGAGACTAGGCAAGTCTAGGTCAAGTTAACCATATATTATAGTTTGGGACAAATCTTTTCTCAAATGATCAACATGTCTACATACAAAGCTGAGTAGAATCTGACCCAAACATTAAGGCAACAAAAAAGATATAATATGAAGGCAGAGATGCTAAACATATTCATCTCATTCTAGTCACCCATCAGACATCTGTAGGCCCAGGTGAAGTCAGTGTTTTTAATAAAAGTGAACTTGGGGTCCCTGGAAATTAACCTAGGCAACCATTATCATTATAATCCATACATTAGATGTATTATCTACAGCAAAGATAGTGGGAAACTAATATAATATATTGCACAGATATTTGACCTCCAAAATTTGTGAGTTAGAGCAAGTGAAGCTAGAGGATTTATTTAGGACCCCCCATCTCATAACAAGATTATGTTTACCACTTGTTACTAACTTCCTGCACATTCTGCTCAGCTTCTTCTCCCTGTCTCCACAGGGGCTGTGTTCCTTGTGCCTCAGGACAGTGTATGGGTCTAATTCTGAATCCAAGGAATGCAGCATCTACTCTCTTCCTCTTGCCTAAGGAGGACAAACCCAGAGAGATGAATCCACAGGCCTCCAATAGCCCTGTCTGCAGTTACTGGAAAGCTCCAGGGAATCTGGCATCATGCTGAGTGTCACATCTTACAAGTGCTCTCAGATCATCAGCAGATAGCACTGACTCCTAGACCTTTCCACGGCTGCTTTAAACACTCTTAAGAACACAGAAGGCTATAGTTTTTGAAAGCCCTACAGGCTGTGACTCCTACCCCTATGGGGTCCTCATTATAATCCATACTAGATGTATTATCTACATGGGGTCCTCTGGAGATGCTGCATTATGGAGCCAGTCCTTTGACTCTTTGGATAGCATATACATTCGAGTACTTAATTGATCAACATTTGGACAAAATAATCTAAATATTTTAGACAGGATACACTATAAACTGTGGTAAAAGTCATGAAAGTAGCAGTCAAAAGATGAGTGTTAGAACATCCTATTCTAGTGCCCACTAGATCCTCTCATCTTTAAGTCTATTCTCATGTTTTGCCAATTTTCAGTGTGTAGTATACAATTTGTCCTCCATGGGGTCCTGAGAGGAGAGAATGGAATCATCTGATATTCTCAGGGTTAGACCTATGAGGACTCTTCATGAGGCTGGACACTGTTGTTCAAACCATATCTCCAGTGCTTGAGTAAGGCCTAAGAGATACCTGGTACTTAATTAATATTCACTGGTGATTTGAAGTATGGAAGAATGAATCTTCTCATCATCAAGCCTTCACTACTGGCTATTGCTGGGCTCTGGGGATGACAGAGAAACCTAAGTATCCCAAAGAAGCATATGAAGTACAATTCCCTCTGGCATTATTTCTGAAGAGGAAAGGCACCTTTGGGGAGGGCTCTCCGATATCTGTGTCTGATGGATGGGGATGCTTTGAGGAGGAGCTTTTCTTTTTGCTCCTCAGGACACTGGACAGATCACTATGGGAGTCACATTTTCCTCATCATATGCCTGAGGATGGATATGTGGCTTCTATAAGTCTTCAAACTGACTTGTCAGGGAATAAATGAGGGACTGATCATTTACATTGAAGAAAATGATCTCATCCTCATAGTCTAGGAAGACCTCCCTACTGTAAGGGGTGTTTTTTTGTGGGGGAGAGGTTGATTCTAAGGGAATTTCTATTGTGAAAATGTGAAATACCCATCCTCTGTTCTTAGTGTCAAGACCCAGTACCCATTGATGTAAGACAATGCCACATACTCTGTCCTCCTGTCCACATCACCTTGCACACTCGTGAGCACCACTTTTCACTATGTCCCTCATCAATCTCCTAGCATTTTTTCTCCTTGTGGTATCACAAAGAATAATTTACTGGCCCAAACATCCCCTGTGCTCCAGCTGTTCCTCTGCTACTTCATCCCTGGACTCCTTGCAACCACTGATCCTTTCACTCTCTGTACAGTTTTTCTTTCCCAGAACATCATATAGTTGAAATCATACAGGTTGTCTTATTTCATTTAGCAATAAGCACTTAAGTTTCTTTCATGTATTTTGTAGCATAAATAATGTACCATTGTATGGGTATAATATATTTTATCCATTCACCTATTGAAAATTTTGGTTGCTCTAGTTTTGGCAATTTACATTAAAGCTACTATATATATCCATATGCAGGTTTTCATGTGGAATTGAGTTTTCATCTAATTCAAATAAATACCAAGGGGCAGGATGCCTGATTGTATGGTAAGATTATTTTAGCTTTCCTAGAAACTGCCAAAATCTCTTCCAGAATGGCTGTACCATTTTGCATTTCCATTAACAGTGAATAGAAGTTTCACTCATTTCACATCCTCTCATGAATTTGATATTGTCCCTGTCTTGGGGGTTTAGCCTAGAAGTAATATCCCTTTTTGTTCTCCTCTAAATGCTATCTAGCTTTTATTATAACTTTTTTTTACCTGTGATTTATTTAAAATTCTGTCATTAATGACTTCTAATTGTATAGAATTTCCTGTTGCTCTTTATCTGAATTTGATTAGAGAATATCCTTTAAAAGGTATCTCTGAAAAATTGCTTTTTAAAAATTTATTTATTCATTTTTTGTTCTAATTTGTTACAGCAGAATGCATTTCAATTCATAGTACACATAGGGAGCACAATTTTTCACTTCTCTAGTTGTGTCTTCATACATGTACTTAGAGTAATGATGTCCATTTCTTTCCACCATTTTTCCTACTCCCGTGCACCCTCCCTTCACTTCCCTTCCCTTTTCCCTATCCAAAGTTCCTCATTTTCTCCCATGCTCCCTCCAACATTCATTATTAATCAGTATCCACTTATGAGAGAAAACCTTTGGCCTTTGGAGTTTTGGTTTGGCTTACTTCACTTAGCATAATATTCTCCAACTTCATCCACTCATCTGAAAATGCCATGATAGTATTCTCTTTTAATGCTGAATAATATTCCATTGTGTATATATAGCACAGTTTCTTTATCCATTCGTCAATTGGTTGCACATTTAGCTATTGTGAATTGTGAATTGTGCTGTGTCACTGTGGTATGCTGTTTTAAGTCTTTTGAGTATAGACTGAGGAGTGGGATAACTGGGTCAAATGGTGGTTTTATTCTCAGCTTTCCAACGAATCTTCGTACTGCTTTCCAGATTGGTTGCACCAGCAATGTATGAGTGTGCCTTTTTCCCTACATCCTCACCAACACTTATTTTCTTAATAACTGCCATTCTGACTGCAGAGAAATAAAATCTTAAGAGTAGTTTTGATTTGCATTTCTGTAATTGCTAGAGATGTTGAATATTTTTTCATATATTTGTTGATTGAGTATATATCTTCTTCTGAGAACTGCATGTTCATTTCCTTAGCCTATTATTGATTGGGTTATTTGTTTTTTGGGTTTTTCTTGTGTTAAGATTTTTGAGTTCTTTATATATCCTGTAGATTAGTGTGCTATCTGATGTGCATGTGGTAAAAATTTTCTCCCATTCTGTAGACTCTCTAGAAGTTTTTTAGTTTGAATACATCACACTTATTGATTCTTGATTTTAATTCTTGTGCTATAAGATTCTTGTTAAGGAAGTTGGAGGCCTAATTTGACATGATGGAGTTTTGAGCCTACTTTTTCTTCTATTAGGCACAGTGCCTCTAGTTTAATTCCTAGGTCCTTGATC